AAATTCATACTTTTGTACTTGTTTGTTGTGAAGGAGCTCCTGTTCCGTGTTCTAAATTTACAATACCTTTAGTAAGCGGTTTTTTCGATGCAGATGAACCGTCCTTATTGCTTTCATCTTTACTTTCTACCGCTGAACTAATTTTCAACCTGAAAATATTTCGCATTAAGAACAAAATTATTGATGACTGAAAAAAAGGAAAAATTCTTCATCGTCAAACACCTAAAGTCTTATTTCTTTAAATACAGTCCGCAGAAATTTCTGCAATAATTCCCTGGATAAACCAAACATTTCCTGCTTCGCGCTGTAAAATAACATCCAACACTGAAATTCTCACCAAAACAACTAATGAAAATAAATTCTACGATTAATCAGAACTAAAGTCATTACTTATTTGTTTTGTCAATGATAGTATCTGTTGTATTCGACGTATCAAGCAGACCTGAAGTATCCATTCTCGGGCAGTACAAACTGCCGTTGGAGTGGGAAGTTCACCTGAAGCAAAGAATCAGACATATTGATATATTAGCATCAATTTCAAAAATATGTAGATCTCACAAACGTTCTCAAAAATTAACTGCAAAGAAATATGAGTACCCATATATTGCTTACAATTGACAGAATTTCTAATTAACTGCAATATTTGCAGGAAATCAGCCGACTGAAACAAGGTATAAAAGTTTCTTCATAGACACGAATCAAATCATTTAATAAAGTGATCTAGTTGAAGAGTGCAGCAATCTGCTAACTCAGTCAAATATATCGCGCCATTCGGTATAATACAATCAGTCAGATATGTTCGACTAAGCACTATGCCACGATTTCTTCTCCTATTGACGATGCTAACCATTTTCAAACACGGCCGATAAAATATGCCTAATTAACAGCATCTTAAATTCGAAATAATTAATCAGTCATTGCTATATATATCATATAATGTATAAGCTGATCATATCTCATCAACCAATCAGTGGATTAGAGAAGTCCCCGAAGAGACAGGAAATCAGAAACCTTTTATAGCAAAAGATTGATTTTTAGCTACTCATAGCATAACCTGCTGAACAGGTTTCAATTATGGCAATTAGATGGGGAAGAATAGATTCTTGATAAACAGAACTTTGAAGGAAAAGATCAGGAGATATTACCATTGATTGTATAATTTATGGAGAGACAGAAAAGAAGTCTATGTGATATTAAGTAAAGATGGAGAAACGGCAGGGATCGATAAGATTTTTATGAGAGAACAATTGAAAGAGATTAGTAACAAAAATGTCACACTATTGTTTTAGGATTTCTGTACTTCATTATTTCCGGAATAACGTGGTGGTTTGGTGCAGAAGTTTTTTTTATACTGAAGTGGTATTCTTTCCTGATTTCATCATACGGCATATCATAAATTACTATCATACGGCATATCATAAATTATTAGGATGAGTTCAAAGCAATAAAAAATTTGTTTGTGTTCATTTTATGTCTTCATCGATTTTTAATTTCTGCAAATTATATAAACTTCTGGGAACTTAATATTTTTGGTTTTAACATCATTTTGTTTCTTTTTTTCAGATAATGCCAGCTTCGCAGAAGAAGTCACACCAGTTGGCTTGTACTGTTGTAGAAAAGACGGTTATTACAGATAATGTCAAGCAGCGATTCGTCATTGAAAAAGAATTTGCACGCGGTGGTTTTGGACGAATTTACTATGGAAGACAGGTAATTTGTCTAATTTGAAATAAGTTTGAAATGAGTTAGATATAGGGATATATTATTAATATGGGAGTGCGTGTATCCTGTGATTATTGAACCAAAACATTGGTTTCTCTTTCGGAAATCTGCTTGTAGAATTATTATTACGTATCATCAAGTGCAAGGTCTGCCACTAACCTGAGATATATTCAAGGTGTATTTTATATTGTTTTATTTCTCTTTCTAAATGTTTTCTTTTTCCGCAGAATGTAATTTTCTTCAATTCATAACGTTATACTATCCATTTCGGACAGTATTTCAATGGATTAGATTTTAGGAAAATAGTGAAGAATACGGCAAGGCTGGTTCGCTTGCAATCAAAATTGAACCATATGCAAATGGCCCACTTTTCACTGAAATAAAAGTCTTTCAACGCATTCTAACACCACAGAAGCTTGAGACTTGGATGGACAAGAAAAGTTCGTCCATTTAATTTTTCCGTTTTTTTTCTCTTCTTTAATTTTATAATATTATGAAATGGTTTCAAACAACTAAAGAAAATCACTTATATTTTCTTTTGATTATATGCAATATCTGAAATCTTTTGCAGAAGTCAGCCATATCGGCTTGCCTTCGTACGTGAGCAGCGGTTTATTTACATATAATGGCGAAAAATTACGATTTCTGATTATGCCACGTTATGAGAAATCCCTAGAAGCATATCGTGTTGCAAATGGTGGTGTTTTGGACATGCATTTGGTATTAACTGTTGCGAAGCAGTGCATCGATTGTTTATCATACATGCAGGACCACGTTGGTGTTCCATGTTCACAGTCCCAAATGCATCGATTCCAGTAGATTGTAATATAATATCTTCATTTCATAACTATCTCTCAAGTACAGAATTTTGCTAGCTTAATGTGGAAATCGAATCATCAGCCTTTCGGTTTTTTGATTTTCTGTCGCATTGATTGTTATTCAGGACTACGTACACGGTGATCTAAAAGCAGACAACATTCTGTTGGCATCGGCAAACGAATATTCCAGATGTTTTTTGGTCGATTTTGGACTTGCAAGGTTTGCCAAAGGAAATGTCGATAAACCGGATAAAAAAAGGGGTATAATCTAAGACTTTTATGATTCCGAAATAGTACAATTCAATTTTAATATACTTTATTTGGAATCATATTATATATTTTTCAGCTCATAACGGAACTTTGCTGTTTACTTCACTGGATGCTCACCGTGGCTGTGCTCCTTCATTTCGAGGTGATTTGGAAATACTTGGATACAATATACTTTATTGGTTATGTGGAACGTTGCCTTGGCAAAAATGCGCACAGAAACCAGAAACAGTAAAATTTTTGCTTAATCCTGCTGTAATGTAATTTGAAACTTCGCTAAAACAAACTATGAAATTTACGCTTTATTAAAAATTTTAGATAATTTGCTTACTTTTATAATGATTATACTTTTATCTATTTTTGGTGTAATTCACGAAAATAATCTAAAACTGGGAGCTTAGAGAAGTTGTATTCAACGTGGATTATCTTCTCAGCAAAAATAAAGCGATGAAAACTAGATGACTTTGGTGGTGATTTATTCGGTAATGCATGTCAGGGGCAGATGTATTGGTTTTTGCTGTTTTGCTGAAAAGGTGTGTTAAAATATACATGCAACAAACAAGATTTAAACATGCGGTTCTATCTTTCTACTTTAGATTATGGTAGAAAAAGAAAAGTTCTCGAAGAAGCTTGACGAAAATATCAAAATGCTTCTGCAAAAAGAATACGTATCTTTTCTAAGCAAGCTTTTTAAGCTGGCTTATGAAACGCCTTATGTAAGCAAAGTGGATTACGGGAATGTTCAACTGGTAGATTTTTTCGCATTATTTTTTCTTTCATGTTTATTTATAGTTCTTTGTAAGGCTGTGTAGCAAATACATGGAAAACGGTAAGGGTAACCAACTTTTCGATGAATTTTATTATTTTTCAGATTTTAAATCAAGTTAAGACTTTGCCGTCGTCAAGTAAAAGCTTGAATTCAAGAAACACCGGAAAGAAAGAAAATGCAAAAATATCATTGACTGGTGAAAAAGGGAAGGCCGAAAACATTTCACTGTCGACGTCTCGTAAGCGTGATGGAAATACAAATGATTTAGGTATTTTTTTAATGATGAACAAGCACCAAACGTTGCTAGTGCAAGTCTTTCAACTTCGATATATTTAAAATAAATCAAGGTCAGATACTATGCCTGTCATTTTATCAACTTGGTCATGCTTTCTTTTTACATATTTCCTTCAACAAAGCTGATCTATTTACGTTCACTTACTGTTTTTATCTTATTTCTGAAAAGTTGATTTCCTTAAATTTATACATTTTTTATAATTACTTTTGTCCCGAGATTTATTCCAAATTTATTTTTCCTTTCAATGGTTTTTCTTCAAAGCAAGGACTTTATCTAATAAATGACTAAATTCAAAATCTTTTGATATTCAGAAGAATTTTGCTTTTTACATTTAAAAACTGCTACCAATTTTGAACATATTTTGAGTATGCTGTTATACATGACCATTTTTAGCATTTCTTTTTTAATTTTGCATCTCATGGTATGCATCCACTTACTATTCACAAGTTATTGTTTTTATTTTTCACATCCTAATCTCGGTTTATTGGCCTTTAATAATTTTTCTGCATTTATCGAAGCTTAGGTAGTAGCGTATCGCCCAACAAACTACCCATTCCAAAGAGACGTAAAAGTGACCGGATCGCTAACCAACTATCGAAAGAAATGGATGGTCCGAAAACTACCAGCGAGAAATCTCCCGAAATTGGTAGCATTTGCAACGAGAAAAAAGGCAAGCGTCGGCCCGAGGTCATATCCCATAAAAATGACTTTAAAAAACTAAAACCGAAATCTCGAAGTGGCTTGGAATCTGTAGCTAAGCAAAATGCACCTTCATTGCCGGTGTTATTTTCTAGCAAAAGTGAGTATCGCTTAATTTTTTTTTTTATAAAAGCTGATAGAGAAATGAGAATGATGACTGTTTCAAATCTTTCTGTGATATTATGACTGCATCTTGTGCGCATGTTCATTAATAATAATTCAGTTGATTGTAATTTGCATCACTAAATTTACATTATGTTCTTCACATCACAACCATTTTTGTTTATTCTGGCACAGCTGACTTCACATTCACGCTTTCTTAATTTTTTAAATACAGCATAGTACTCCGCCATGTTTTAAAACAGTGTTAAAAATGTTGTAGGATTTGAACAATGAATTATGAAAGTACAAGAAGTAAATATAGAGAAAGAAAGGTGGGATACTAAACGCAAAAATAAATCATAAAATTTTCAGAAGCCGAGGATTCTCCTGATAAGAAATTACGTAATGTGATTCCGGGTCTTCGCAATATGAAAAATGTACGACGATCTTTAAGAGAGAGACTTGTAAAAAAATATATCAATGTTGCTAATCAGGCTAAGAACAAACAATAAATCTAGTATGATTCATTTTATTATCCGGTTCTCAAAAAATTGCAACTTTTTTTGAATGAATGCATGCTTTTAAAGGACTGGATTTTAAAAGAATCGTTCATAGGTAGAAACTACATTATTTAGCAGAAAAGATTTCCATAAAAAATACCACATATTTTTTAAGAAAATTTTCAAAAATTATTACATATTTTCCAAATTTTGTTTTATTAGTGCAGATAACGATTAGATATGTTAGGACACAAACTTTTGGATTTTCTTCATTAGTATTAGCGCGTTGAGAGTATGATTTACTGTTGATGGATTTAGGGTAATTTCTTAATATTTGTCACAAGCTTCAAAATTTACTGTATTCGTGTTTTAATTTCGCTTTGAGGTATTATTTCACTTTTAAGCATGGTAGCATATCTTACGTTGCGTAGCAATAATAATTGATGATGTTTGAATGCTTTGTTGATAAACGCAACCGTTCGTGAAATTCACGTTTTAGCGACGCGTAGTAAGTAAGTAATATGAAAGTAAAAACAAATAAGCAAATGATTTGATCGTCCAGAGTATTAGCATGCCTTTGATCTCTGCAATATATGATTACCATTTCTTTTGTATTTTTTGATCCACTATCCATCGTAATTTATATGTTCCGGAATCTTCATTTTTCTTCACTACAAACTATTGAAATAATATCGGTCTTTTCCTCTTTGTATATTAAGGTATTCTTCTGGTGTGCAAAATAAAGAATTTTTTTGAGATGCTCTGTTGCAATTGTGTAATTTATCAGATTAGGAAATTCACCTGAAATTTCATCTTATTCGAAGTTTTCTTAAATTCGAAATTTCAATAGGGATAAGAAATTGCACTATAAAATCGAGCAAAAATTTCCATGATGAAGTTCTTTTCCGTTTCTCAGTTCTGGAGAATAAGAAAGACATCTTTTTTTTCCGATTCGCTGGAAAACAATATCAATTTGCGAAACATGTCTCCGGTATACCGTGACTTACGATGTTCACAAATATAATGGAAATTTTTTGTAAGTCAGCCGTCAAAAAAAGCCATCTTAAACGATGTAATCATATGAGCGAAATCAGATGAAGCTGATTTTATATTCATGATACGATTTTTTTTTAACTTGAGGATACCGTGTAATTAAAATTCTTTTGTTTATTGTAAGGTTGATTGATCTACGGTTGTATTACTGCAACTAGAGTTCCATTTGTTTTACATCTTTCTAAAGTGTTACTTTACATGGATACAATGAATTTAAGGAAAACGGAATGTTGTACACATCCATAGTATTATTTTTCAATAACGCTCAAGTAATACTTTTCTCTTCTCTTACATCAATAATGATCAGTGGGTGTTATGGAGGAGATTAGAGATTTTTAACATTAATGATATTTTCAGATAAGGTTATCTCACTTTTTGATTTTTATCAAAAATTCAATGATTCCCTTATACGAACATCTATCAATATCAAATTTAGGATCGAAATTATTAGCATTGAAATAATTTGATGAAAATGAAAAATTACATTAGTAACTGTAAATTGTGTCCGTTGAAAATTATTTTGTAGATTTTCACTCAAAAATGACATCATTTCCATGTGAAACTACATTTCATCATACTGTTGTTCACTTTGACATGATATCATAATCTGTCACTAATAATCGTTCTTTGTTTTTTTCTTTGGGATTTACCGGAATTCCTTATTTTTAGATTAGATTATATAAACTGTTGTTATTTTTAAAAAAAAAAATGAAATTTTAATGCTTATCCTCTTAACATTTAAGAAATTGAAATTCTAATTAGAGAAAATGAATAATTAATTTATATTAAATATTTTGAAATTATGACTTCGAGTAGAATTTTTAAAAAAAAAAACGATACCAATCAATTAACTATTGGATATCAATTTATTATAGCTAATTATTACATAGCAATTTGTTATGGCTAACTATTAGACAACAATTTATTATTGTTAACTAATTGGACAAAAATTTATTATGGCTAACTAAAAATCATCTTTGTTTTTCTATCTTAAATTTTGTTTCATTTTTAATGATCCATTAGGCATTAAAAAAAATCCTTGATATTTTTTCCTTTTTATCTCTTTCATATTTATATTATCACTATAGCTGTCAAACAAATCTGTCAAAGAAAATCGTCCAAAGTTCACAGTCTAATCGTCCAGTCGTCTACAGCTTACTTATTAACATTAACATTACTGTAAACCTGTATTAGTACCCAAATAATATTAAAAAAACTTTTTAAAAACTAAAAAATCCATGATTTAAGTATATAATTTAGACTGCGAAACATTATCGGATGAATTATTTAATGATAATTTTTGCAAAATATTTTCATTTGAATTAAACTTTTGCTAAATATTAAAATTGGTTTATGTCTGTAATGAAACCGTTGCTAACGAAATAATATTCTGTTATTTAGTAATTAGAAAAATCAATTCATTATGTTTCATTTAGAAGAACAAAAAAATCCTTTTTCGTTACTGACACCTCAAATTGGTATTGTCAGATAATTTTTGCTATATCCAAAAAAAACGGAAAAAAAACTTTCCAAATGCAATTTATGAACAATAATCATACTTAAAGCTAATCTAATATTAAATTCAAAAGAATGTAATATCTTAAGATATTTGCACTCTGTTAGATTTCCACAATTCTTCGAAGAGTAGAAAATCGTTGGGAAAAAGTTCAAGCATAAAACATAAGCCAATATTTGTTTGCAGCTTTTAGTATATGAATATTGTTCATAATTCTTTGCCTTTTTTTGAATAATTAAACTTAACAATTTATCTTTTTAAATATCCTATAAATTTAGGATCAATTTTATTTAATTAATATTTAATTTAACTTAACATTTTATTCTATTCAAATTTTAATTTATATCAATTCATACTTTAAAAAATTATTTTGATAATTTCAGTAGGGAAATAGGCTTTTGTTTGTTTGTTTTTGTTTTTCGATTTCCAATTTTGGTAATATGCATGAAGCATTCAATGAATATAATATTATAATGTATAGTGATGGAAAGCAGCATTATTATCAATGAATAGGGTATGAAGAATGAATGAATGCCGTTAATGGATTGATTTCGATGCTGTGCTTTTTTTTGATGAGATTTTAGGCCCGTAGGGTAAAAGGATAGAGCATTTATGGTATGATGAATATTTGCATAAATAATTATCGGATTGAAATGAATAAGTTGCCTTTCTTTTTACTAAAATTTTTGATTTAAATTTTAATGATGAAATACAGCATTTTAGGATTGATTAGCAGAAATCAGTTAATTAAATAAAATAAAAATGATAAATTTAAAATTATCATTTTATTAAACTGAGGAAAAATAGGCTTTGTGGAAAATAATAATTGGCTAGGATTCTTTTATTTACAACTATTGATAATTTTAAAAATGATTGCTTAGAACCATTTACATCAATTGAATATAAAACTTGGTAAAATGTATAACTGATCGAAATAAAACAGGAAATAGCAAAAGTATCAGTTCTCCGATATAAAAAAATATCACTGATATTATTAGGAAAGAAAGAGGGTAATAAAATAAAACATTAAAGTTTACAAATTACTTTCACAGATCGCTAAGTTTACTTTACTTAAGATAATGAGATAAAAGTTGAAATATTTTAAAAATATACAATTTTCTCGTTTTTTTTCGTTTTTACTTTCTTTCCTTTGCTAGGAAATGGTTCTGATACTTTTGATTTGGTCAACTTTGGTCAAAAGTAAACCATACTTCCGACAAAGATATATTTCTCCAAAGTTTACTATTGATAAGATTACAATAATACAATACTTTTAGCTTAGTCATATAATAATTCATACATTCAAATTTTTTAAAAATTTAATTTGCTCGAAAATATTTTAAATAAATTCACGATAATATAATTGTTAATTATGTCATGAAGAATGATAGATCGCACAACAAAGAAGGAAAGGAATATGAGAAACGTGATAAGCGTACGTGGGATGTGGAGGAGGAAGAGAAGATGTAAGAGTGGTACTGATAAGCGTATGTGGGAGGCAGAGGAGGAAGAGAAGACGTAAGAGTGGTACTGACAAGCGTACGTGGGATGTGGAGGAGGAAAAGAAGATGTAAGAGAAGGTATCAGAAGGTATCAGAGTGGTATCTAAAACGATGACGGAAAATAGGTGAAAAGAAATGGCTTTGAAATGAAAATAATTTTCAATAATGATGGAAAACGAAGGATGATGGAGAGTTTTCAGTGTCTGTCAACAACCAAATATTACTCTATTCATTATTTATTTTACATTTAAGCATAATATCAGTTCTCGAAAAAAAAACATTGCTGCCACTATCCTTCTTATTTCATCCATCATGGAAAAATTCATTTTCACCATTGATAATGGATATAAAAAAAAGAACGAACAAACAAAATCTCACGATGAGATAAGTCGAAATTATCAATCAATTATAGATTGAATGATAGATTGAATTTAAGACAGTAAAATCTTTTTCAATAACAATTTATTATAATATAAATCAATCGGATATATCATTCCTATCCATCTTAACTAAACTTCTTTTATCATTCAAATTATTGTTGTTGTTTTGATTTTTCTATCAACAACTTTATGTCTGTAATTTTGTTTTCTCATTTTTCAAATTTCTTTAAACAAAAGAAAAGAAGAAGTAGTATTTTCAATATGTTATCATTTTATCATTTACTTATAATTTCTTGAAAAGAAATTTGAAAATAATTATACTTTAGCAATTAAATCTTTTTATTTTTATCATTTGATAACATTTGTTAAAAAATTACTTTCTATCATTTTAACAAAAATGTAAAATTAGGAAAATCTTAGATTGATAAGAAATGAAGATAAAGGTATTCATAGATAAATGTACGTTAAAAATTAGATGTATGAATTGGAAGGATAGAGAGATCACGAAATAAAATACGGGACGCTATTAAATGCTTCGCTCTCATCCGACAATGACACTTTTGGATTTGCTAAGTATTTTGGTGCTGATCTTCGCACCGATAAGATAATACGATGAAAAGTGTTGATTCATACCGGTAAAATTTTCATTACTTTTAAAATTCGACGTATTTTCGACGCGATGTTTTTTTTTTCTCAGTACAAAAAGGAAGATTTCGATTTTAATTTTTATTAATTTATACAAAACAAAAGTGAAATATTTTGAATGATTATGATGTAAACAACGAAGAATACATTTTTGTAATTTCTACACAATCAAATATATCAAATCAATGAAGGTGTAAATAAAATCCTCATTTATATATATATGAAAATAAATTGAACTGTCACTTTCTAAAATATTTTGAAATACTTCAAAATTTCACCTAATTTTGTTTTTAAAATTTCGGTCTGCTTATATCATCTAAAAGATTATTTCATGATCGAATGGATCGAATTCGATGAAAGAAGGCTTTTAACAGACGAATTATTCTAGTGAAATTAGACAATGCGCTAAGATTACTGTGCATCGAAAAGAATCGTAAAATACTGCAACTTTTAATAGTCATATATGTATTAAACTAGGATTGACCAATGAAATTCTAACCCTTTATCACTAATGGAAACATTGTGGTAAATAAAGCTAATACAATAGAAGACTGTCTGTCTGTCTGTCTATTAAAAGTTAATAAATTAAAGAAGTTGTATTGATATTTTGTGATAAATGGATGAGCTCATTCGCTTTATCTGATAATTTAAACAGATACAATACAAACTGTATTAATTAATGCATTCTTAATATAAGATAAAATAAGATAAGAGATCATATCTGTATGAATTATCTGTTAACAGTAAGAAATTTTCATTAGTAAAACATTTATTCTTTCAATTCATTCATTCTAATAACGCTCCAATATAGTGGTGAAATTACTTCACTTTTACAGAGTAACAACAAGAAATGATATTTGAGAATATATAAGATAAAGTAAGAATCCCTCATAGCAATTAATTGTTACTTTTTACTTACCTTAATAAAGTGATATGAATGATAAGATTAACCGAAAATCAAAAACAATAAAAGCAATAAGGCAATAAATTAAACTACAACTATTAGAATAAATGCCAAAATGGCAACGAATTAATTTATCTGATATGTATATTTTCGGATTTTCGGATGTCAGCATTTTGATAAGGCATTTACAGCTAAGAAAATATCCGCTCAATATAATATGGGATGATCGATAAGGTTGCATAATGTTAAGATAGGCTGTAATGATAAGACTGTGAAGAGTGAAATAGGATGAGATAGGATACGATGAGCAACAGGAAGTATAGAAGATGATGATAATGATGGAATTAAGGATAAAGGTGATGTGTTACTTTAGCAGGTACATAATAAATATCTAAAGCACCTCATTCCTCTTCTCCTTAGATATTCATTCAGTTAAATTAGTCATTACATACTATCCTTTAATAAAAATGCAATCAAAAATGGTGACAAATGAAAATAGTACGACAGGTTAATTGCTATGAATGTTATTTGACCATAGGTGGTTATAGCACAAATGACCAATTAGATGCAATCACTACGGGGTCACTGTTGGTCAATTTCCTTGCTATTGGTGATGAACATTTTTAAGGGACTGATGATGAAACCACTTGGAAAATTGCAAGGATGAGAAGGTGGAGCAGGTGGTACACATACACGCACACGCATACATACATACATAATACACACATACACATACATACATAATACATATATACACACATACACATACATATACAAGATTGTCGGTAATGGTAAATGGACGTAGACGTAGATGCCGCCCCGCCCTGCAATACTCCGCCCTATGAGATTGCAAGCGTTACAGGAATTCTTCATGCTCATTCCACGCATTCCACCCGTGTCTCTTCAGCAGTGTCGTGTCCCGTCGAGGTCGCTTTTCCGGAGGGTTCGTTCTCGAGCCCAGGGCGCTCGCTCGTTCCTCTTGCGACCGTAAACTGTGAAAAATTTCCGCGCCCCATTTTATTACTTCTACCCACTACCACTACAACAATAACAACAACAACAACAACAACAACAACAACAACAACAACAATCTCTACAACTCTTCTTCCCACGATAATAGTAAAGAGTGTTTGAAGAGAAAGAATTTTACCGTTATTCGTCGCGTTATTTGGTGTTGAAGGGAAAAGATCGACGACGGTGCAGGCGGTAAAGGACACACACTATTGCTGTGTGCGAAGGTTAGTAGTGTATGTATTTCATTGTCTTATCACTTTATCCAATCATTCAAACATGCATGTCATACACATTACAATATCTTACAAATAATTAAAACAAAAACTTTCAGGAATAGCAAGTTAATATACAAACATACAAACGAGTTCTTATCTGTTTGTTTGTTTTGTTTATTCATTTATTTTATCGATGATGTTTTTCATCATCAATAGGAGACATACCATTTCAGGTTAATTTACTTCTCTAACTCTCTTCAATTCAATGTATAAGATGAATGCAATACTTTGAGTAAATAAAAGTTAACAAATGAACAATTGAAAAAAGAAAGAAGCTCAATGATCATGTTGATAGATTTAAATTTATTCAAAATACCTACCCTTATTGTTCCTCTCAGAAGAAAATGTCTATTTTGAACTTCTGCAAAATATCTCGAAGGATGAGATGATATATCTTACCTAATTGATCAGGATGTACTTCTGATAGTGCCTGTTTGTATGGATATGTTGTTTATCCATACTTTCTGATATATGTGTGTATGTGTGTGTGTGTATATATATATGTATGTGTGTGTTCGTCTGTCCTCATATTTACTTCTGATCAGTAAGTAAGAAATATAACGTTGATTGTTATATTGTTGTAATAATGTGAAGGGTAATTGATGGTGGTAACAAAGTGTCGGAGTTTTGCGATTGCCAACATTAGCTTCGGAAATGCTTTCCTTCAGGATGTGTGATTCGTAATAAGCAATTGTTGCTTAAAACAAAACACATCAAAATGCATTGAAGCGCTCTAATATTACTCATTACTGATAAGAGAAATTACATAGTCGCGCTTTTTGCATAAGTGTTGAATTTGAAAATAATATGTTTAGCTAATCATATTTCATTCATTCAGTTAATATAGTTCATCTCGAGAAGATGAAATATTTTTAATGAGATATATTCTAATAAGGTAAATTATTAATAGTTGGAATAGCTTTATCATTAATTATTTTTTCAATTCTAAAATGTACGAAAAACAGTTTTATCACACATGTAGACTTATCATATTGTTATGATTGATCGTTTAAAATGATCAACACTTTTTATCACCAATTTCTCTATCTTTTTTTCTCTCATTATTGTTTTCATTTGTAGGTTGAATTACATATGATCGTATTTAAAATTACTATTAAATTATTTTCTTTCATTAAGCTAATTTATTAAATCGTTGATAATTTATAAAATAATCTTTTTCATTTGATCATTTCAATCATTGATAATTGAATTATTCATCCATTTCGAAATTTTGTAAAATTTACGAAAAATAAATAAATAATAATTGTTAATCAAATTCCTCAAAATTTAGCTATAAATTCAAATATGCAAATTTTTATCATTTAATTTTAATTCGAAAACATTCTACTACTTATCTATTCTATTATTGCACACTTCGTTATTTTTATATTTTTAAATTATGACATAATTGTATGAAATTTTTCATTATCACAAATTAAGCTAAACTGTTTGTCATTATCATCATTTTGTGATAATGATAACAATTTTTTGATTCTTATTCATTTCTCTCTAAACTTTAGGTGAGGTCAAATTAGAGGAAGAAAAGCTCTTCACTTTATTTCTTTTCAATTTTCTCAATACTCTTTTTCTTAGCCTTATATCTCTTTTTAAGCAATAGTTAAAGTATTATTTTTTTCTTTCTGATAAATTTTAATCTGTAATTTTCTTTATCATTTTAGCAAAAGAATTTATTCTCGTAAAACCGTATTTCAGCAAAAGATTACCGTACCTTTTATATGCAGTAATTTTTTTTCTGTTATCGGAAATGTAGCATAGATATGTGTCGATGATTAGAAGCTTTTCTTGCTGTTGCTGCACTTCTGATAACTTTTTAAATGATATGATATATTTTATTGATAGTTTATATATACATGAAATGGGATTGAATGCATTACAAAAAATGATACTATTTTTTATTAAGTTAAATTTAATTGCAAATAAATTAAAAAAATGATTCATTCAAAGCTAATATTTCCATGTTATTATGTGGAAGTTTAAATTTTAAATTCACATATTTCCGGTTTTACGGATGAAGAAGTTAAAAATTATACGGAAACCGTATCTAAAATTGAACAATCCTGAAGTATTATCCTTCATTTGATCTTTGCTCCTTCTCTTTTACAACCTCAATTTACAATGCTAAGAGAGCACTTAGCTTTATCTTAGTTTTGCTTTTATAACTTTTATTCAGTTTAATCTAAATAATCTCAAAATTTATTATACTAAATTTATTTCCGGTTAATACGTATCTCGAAGTATTCGTATTCTCTTTCTCTCTCTCTCTCTCATTGACCGAAATGTTTTTTTCCTTTTTTCGTTCCCTTCAAATTCCCTATTCCGATGTTGATGATAATCGGATTTTGGATCATTTGGTAAATTTACGGATAGAGGAAGAGAGGTGAAGATAATTGTTGATGTCGCTATTGCTAGTAAGTGCGGGATAGAGAATGCCCTTGGACACTAAACATATGCGCATGCATTGGCGTGGCCATCGACACGGACATCTGCTTCTTCTACGGCCTTCGTTTGCCCTTCAATGACCTGATCAAAACAGTCTGTCTTAATATTCATTTTCCCCATGGCACCATTATAGCGCGTTTGTCTATCCAGTTCTTTGTTTGTCTGTTGTCCACTTGTTTATTTGTTCATCTGTGCATTTGTCCACTCTTTCCCCCTGTTGTAGCAATGATATTACAGCCATAAATAAAAAGAATTTCACTACAAAAATATCATATCTATGTGTAAATATTTAGGCATGTTCATGTACCTGTATATCTGTGTCTGTAATGTATATGTAATGTATGTGTGTATGTGTGTATGGATTTTTTGTATATGTAAACTGTCAGGAATGTTAATATATTCATTGGTCTAAAAATGCTGACCGACCACACAACTATTTTTTTGTATTAGCTTAATAAGAAGAAATTATTCAGGCGTCAATGCCCATTTAGGAGGAATTGCTACAAATGGTGCGATAAAAGATTTAAACTATTATCAATTTCTGATTGCCATTACCGCCAACGATCGATAAGAATATGAAATAGTTTAGAAGATGAGCTAGAATTCAAGTTATCACTTCTACTAATGATTTTTCTAATTTCTAATATTTTGATAACTAGGAATTAAATTTCTTGACAGAATTCTCATCAATATAGTAATTAGAATTATGTCATCGTTTTATTTACAAACTTAATTATTTAAATTTTCTATTTTGTTTAATCTGAAATTTATCTTCCAGATTTACAATATCGGTGCAGTTTGACCTGTTCAATGACACTAAGCAACTTCCTCTTCCTTTCACCATCCTCTCTCTCTCTCTCTCTTTCTCTCTTTCTCTCTTTCCCTTTCAATATTTTTAACATAATAAGTTAGCGGTAATTTTGTTTGATGACTAATGCAACAGTTAATTGCAAAATAACATGTTTGTCCCTTATCTAGCCAGCGGATCCTTTCATATAATTTATCTTGACCTTTGTCTCTTCTCTTTCTCTCTCTCTCTCTCTCTATCTCTAATTTGATCCCTAATTTACATTGATGAATGGAAAATCGTTCTCAGCAACTCCTATCTTTTCATTAATTCGTAATAGCAAATTGTAAATTGATTTATTTTTTTTTTTAAACTAATTTTTGATAAAATGAGAAGATAAAAGAAAACAGAAAAATGGAACCTTTTACGAAGAATGGTAGAGAGAGAGAGAGAGAGAGAGAGAGAGAAAGAAAGAAAGAAGATGAATGAAAAAGAGAAATAAGAAGAAGTTTGTTTAATTTCGTCTTTGGTTTAATTTTTGAAAAAGTGAATAGATAGATAGGTGAATGAAAAAGTGATAGAATTGGGTAGGAGAAAGGAACGAGTTCACAGGGCAGTTCAATTTCGTTTCTGTTTTTTTTACGCACTCTCTGTTGAAGAAAATAGAAGGTATCAATCAATGTAGTCAGTCCATGGAAATCTTCGGGACCGTCTGCTACCATTAAAGTTTGTATTTTGAAGCAAAATTTCTGTACGGATGTGTATGTTATGCGTATACGTATATGTGTATATGTATGTATGTGTGTATGTGTGTTTGTGTGTGTGTGTGTGTCTGTCTGTCTGTCTTTCTGTATATATGTAAATTATTAAATGATTCGATGATTTGTTCATGTCTGCACATATATATATATATATATATATATGTGTATGTATGTAGTGGCAGTGGCAATACATATACGTTGTCTTTTCATACATTACAATTTTCAAACTGTTATACACCTTTGAAAATTTAAGGAAAAGAGTATTATGAAGGAGGGGAGAGAGGGGGGGGGGAAGAAAAAAAAAGAAGAACGATGATAATTTGTTATTAATTGGACAGATGGTGAAAAATTTTCACTTCACTGTAGACAGCCGTAAAGAGTGGCAGCAATATATGCTGGAAGGAATGATGAAAAAGGATCGTTTTTTCTTTTATCAATTTGCATTTATAAAATTTTGTAAAAAATAGGAAAAAAGAAAGGAAAATGGCAGAAAAAGATGAATTATTGCTCATAAATGCGTCATCATTGCAGGAAATATTACAATAAAAATGTTGAAAAAAGTTGTAATTTTTATGATAAGGGAAATTAATTAATTTTTTGTTAATTAAAGATGTTGAAAAAGTTGTAACTTCTATGATAAGAGAAATCAATTAATTTTTTGATAATTAAAGATGTTGAAAAAAGTTGTAACTTCTATGATAAGGAAAATCAATTGTTTTTCTTTTTTTGATAATAAATTAAAATAATCTTAAGCTTTTTAATCTTTCAATAATTTGTAATTTTTAATTTTTCCATCTAATTGATAAGAAAAATTTTACGAATTGATAATAGCGATAA